ACAAGGAAGAAAGATGGATTGCCGTTAGATCATTTTTCGTATTTGACGGTCACGATTTCATTTTTATCATTTCCAGTGACCGGATTTTTGGTTTTATATTTTTTTAAGATCATTTTGGTATTTGGTTTTAATACCTTTTTTTTTTTGGTCGACATTTGGTTTTATTACTTTATCAGAATCAAATATGAAATATGAAAAAAGAGTTTAGTAGCAGACGTTAAACTGAGTCAAGAATAGACAAAACCATTGAAAAGTTGATATAAAAAACCATTGAAAATTTAATATAATAAACCAATTCGGTTTATCATAGGATCAAAAATCAGTACAAAATACACATTTCATCTCGTCATGTTCATGTCGCCTTTGCGTTAGAGCTTGCTGCGGATCATCTGCTCAGTTTGCGACTGCACAAACATACCACACCATATGAAGACTCTTTTGATGGAGTTAACCATTGATTCAGCCAGAAAGCAAACTCAAAACTCGGTTACTCGGTGATTGAAATTACTGACACTGATCATATGACCAAAGAATGCTTACCCTTGATTGCGATTCACCTCATGAACAAAAGACAGGATTCATGAATGCAATCACTGCAACAGCGCCAATGGTTGGCATTAGTGTTGGCTCTCTAGTGAAAATTCCTGAGTCGAAAGCAAATACATTTTTTAGGAAAGGAAGATGACACATCGACTAATATTTCAGTAGCAAGAGAAGAGTTTTCTCCACTAGCAATTCTCCAAGAAATGATTATTAACTTGCTCCTTGCAAAGTAGCAATATACCAGTGCAAGCTAATACAAAACATGTAACTAAAGACACTAACAAAATAATATTGCTTCACACATAAGCACTTCCGGTCTTCAGCAGCTCAAAAGGGAACCTTAATGGCTGTCACAGATGCTTCCAGTTGAAGATGGTTGCTCTACATATAACCCCTTCTCTTGAGGATAATCTAGTTTAAGAAAGCATATCGAGAAAGCTTTTGTCCAATCTCCCATCATGCGGAGTTCTTGCGAAAGTTGATTTCCCTTGGGAAATTTGACAATCCGCAACTTTTGGATACAACCACAAGTAATCTACTTTATGTCCCATGGGAAAGGCGAGAAGACGCCAGCGAGAAAGCCAAAACAAAAGAATCATCAAACCATGGAAATCATCTCTTTCAGATTTCGTCGAGTAACAAAGCATAGTTTCTTGGAAATCATCTCCTTCAGATTTCGTCGAATCACATTTGAATTCAATCCGCCTTGCAGCAAATACACAGATAATCTAAAATCGATGAAACCACTTGAAAGCGAGGTGCTCTTTCTACCGTCCTGGGACAAGAACCTAAACTGGAATCGTTCTGGAATCTAATTTAGTGGAATTCTATAAGAAAGCTAGCAGGAAAAGTGGAAAACCTGAAACAGACACTTTAAAAACTATCTTATTATAGAAAATTTTCACAATCATTAATAAAAGTGGATGACTAATTAATAAAAACACTGGTTCCAAACTTCTATTTATAAAAAACAATCATTTGACAATGTCTCGGATATAAGTATTAACAAACTTGGTCAGTCTGCATTTAGATTTCTATAGAAAAACAATTTCAGAAAATTCGGAAATGGAAAACAGAATCGAGAGTGAAAAACCAAACGAAATTATTTATTTTCACATGCCTAACCAAGTCTGAGATTTGTCTAAACAATCAGTTAAAAACCAAATCTAAACGAAAACCATAATCATGCTTGAGTACTCTCCTCATGGAAGCCTAGCTATTATGCTACTATGCTCTTTGGTATTTTCTTGAAGGGAAGAGCTTCTTATGACCCTCACCACTGATCTTGTGTTATAAAGTTTGTTAGCAACCTAATCTTTGGATATGCAAACTATATTTATGCCGGTTAAGTTACGAAAACCATAATCATGCTTGAGTACTCTCCCCATGGAAGCCTAACCAAGTCTGATATTTTTTTGAAGGGAAGAGCTTCTTATGACCCTCACCACTGATCTTGTGTTATACACGAACAAAAGTATCAGTCATAATAAACTAAGACACAACAGCAACCTAATAAACACATATTTATCTACACATAACATGAGAACATAACAAGTAATCAGAAGAAAAGCAATAAAAAATAAGAAGCTCATTCACCTCAAAGATGATTTAGGAAAGCATGTCCAGAAAGCTTTTGTCCAATCTCCCATCCTTCAACATACTAAAGACCAATGCTTATCGTCGAAGCATCTCCACAGAACCCGCAACTCCTCATTTCTTTGATGAGTTCAGCTGATTCAGCTTTGTCACCATCTCTAAGGCGTGCCCTAATCAGAGTATTATACGTACCGCTATCTGGGAGAGGCCCATCTTCTTTCATTTTTCTAAACAAGTCGTTCGCTTCTTCCATTAAGCCTTTCCTACATAACCCTGAGATCATTGTGGTGTATGTTACAACATTAGGCTTCACTCCTTTGAGGCTGAGGCTACAAAACAAATCCCACCCATCTTCCACCTTTCCAGCCTTACACATTCCTTCGATGATAACACTATATGTGAAAATATCGAGTTCCATTTCACTGTTTTGCATATCTTGGAATATCACCAATGCTTTCTCTAGCTTCCCGTTATTGCAAAGACCATCCAACAAAATGTTGTGGTCTTCTCACAATCTCCAGCTTATTAGGAGGCACACCAGCAGAAACCATATGTTTGAAAACTTTTTTGGCATTCTCACAATCTCCAGCTTGAAAAAAGCCTTGGATAAGAGTGGTGTAAGTGATTGTATTGCCAACCAATCCTCTTTGAGACATTTCACGAAAGAGTTCCATGCCATCCTCTACTCTCTTAGACTTGCAAAATCCATTTATAAGAGTACTATAAGTCACTACGTTTGGTAAACAACCTTTGCTAACCATGAACTCAAACATATCTTTGGCCTCATCTAGGCGATCGTGCATGCAAAACCCATTGATCAATGAACTGTAAGTGATGGTATTAGGATCTACAGACCTGTGGATCATTTCCTCGTACAGTGTTTCAGCCTCGAAAAGTTTCCCTTCCTTCACAAACGCATCTATCAATGCATTGAAACTAACTACATCAGGGTTGATTCTCCTCTCAATCATATCACGAAGTAATCGTGAGGCATCACTCCATCTTCTGTAATTACAAAGCCAACTTATAAGGGAGGTATAGGTATAAACATCCGGTATAATTCCTTTGTTCTCCATTTCATTGAATAGGTCGAATGCATCATCCACGTTTCTGTATTTGCAAAGACCATCAATGACTGTATTGTAGATTACAACATTCGCCTTAATTTCCCCTTCTTCCATCTTTTTGAGCAGATTTAAAGCCAAGTCAGTATTACCTCTCTTACATACTCCATTTATCACCACACCAAAAGTAAAAGGATCCGGTTGACAGCCTTTCACAGCCATCCGTTCAACTAAAGCCACCGCTTATGAGACTTTGTTGGTGAGAAAAAGTCCATGAATTAGAGTGTTGAATGTCACTGTATCAGGTTTATATCCCATTTCCACCATTTGATCGACCAGACATACTGCATCCGAAATCCTATTCCCTTGACAGAAACCATTGAGCAGCGAGTTAAACGTGACAAGGCTAGGTTCATAGCCGAGTTTCATCATCTTGCCAAGAACAGCTAAAGCAAGAGAGAGCTGAGATTGGCGGCAAAAACAGTTGATCAAAATACTATAAGTATAGAGACTATGAGAAATTCCCAACATTTGCATCTGCTCGCCCATAGAGATGACAACATCATACTTCTTCATCTTCGCAATAGCACTCATTAATTTACTAAACTCAATAATGGAAGGCAAAGGACGAGACTTTACCATTTCACTGAGCAAATCAATAGCATCATCTAGCTTAATATCACGAAGCCCATTCCTGAGAATCTCTCTGCTATCATCACTGAGACCAGAGAAAACTCGTCTCCAGCAAAATGATGGAGAAGAAGTTCCATGTTTACCTTTCTCCAAATGAACAAATCTCTTGGAGGAAATCGCAACTAATCTGCTCATCTTCTCACTGTTTTTGCTTCAAAAAAGGCTTCCAATGAAATCTCCCGTTGCCCTAGAAATCTTCAGTTGGGGAAATTTCGATCCGGTTCAATGTCGGTTCTGAGAAATCTGGTTATCTTCAACCTTCTTTTCGAACCAATTGGGTTTTTAAAATAACTCGCTGATTTTAATAATTAAATTTGAATGAAGAGG